TAATTAAAGAAACAAATTATAGATTTGGAAATGATTAGTTTAATTAAGTTTAAATAATTTTTTAGTGATTTAAAAAAGTTTATTTCCATTTATTGACTTTTAGATTAACTCAATATGATATACATCTATTATGTATACTTGTGTTAAATGTAAAAAATATAAAACTGCAAGTTAGAAAATAAAAATGAAATAAAATGCATAATATTTTTGTATTATTTATTCAAAACTATAGCTTTTAAAAAATTATGTAAATTCTATTATACAGACACTAATATAGGAAGAATTACATAACATTTTGTATTTAACATTTCCTTTGCATTAGGAAAGATACAAAAATGTGGAAAAGATTTGGTATTCATAATCTACTAAGATTAATATGTATTTCCATTTTACAATAAAGCTCAATTTTTACTTTTTATGTTTTCTATTAAGAATTAATAAAACTTTAACTATGTACTATAATATGCCCTTGAAATGATATTAAAATTAAGATAAGAAATGATATTAAAATTAAGATATTTCTACTGTAAAAATAGAGATATCATTATGAATTTTTGTCCCTAAAGGCCAAATATAAAAAAATTTGATTAATAAAATATTATTGTACTAGTAAATGTGTTTAAAACATTATAGGTTTAAATGAAAGTAGCAGATTGCATTATTAAAAATTACACAAAATTAACAAAATTAAAATTTTAACTTCGACTAATTAATAAGTAACTGCCAAAATATACATTTTCTACAATAACGTTAACAAATTACACAGAAGATATTCTTACGTACTACGCTTTTGGGTGCATTCATATGTAATGCTTTATTAACAATAAGAGAAAAATTAAGTTATGGAAAATTCAGTAAAAGTAGTATTTAATTTATACATATATTAACATGTTTATTATTTCTATAGGTAAGTATTACTATTAACTATTTTAGAATGTACATTGGCAAAAAATATGTAAAAATTTATTAAATTACCACGCATGCGTATAAATCCTTTTTATTTGTCACTATCATGTATCTGGCTGTGTAACGCGGAGTGTCATCGTGAACGTGTTGCGGTTGATCTGAGTTTGGTTACAAGGTTATAAGGTTATCTTGAAAAATTAAACTGCGCAAAATTATTTTCATATTTTTTGATCTTTTGATATTCATAGAAAATACGTACAAAGTCTCATGAAACCTTATTTTTTGTTTAATCAATACTTAAAATAAAGTAAAATTGTCGATAAAAAAAAATAACTTGGTGAAAGTTAAATAATATTTCTCCATCACGAAAACTAATTTTTATTGTCAGTGGCTCATATAATGAGCGTAACAACAAATGAAGATGAGACTGGTATGACCACAGTAAGTTTCTTTTTCCCGCTTATGTAAATATTTTTTTGTTTTTAATTATTATCGTTAACAATAGATTAGCAATATTATAATTTCTAACAATTTTTAAATGTCAATATATTTATTAATTTTTTTTTTAAAACATTTTATTTTATTTTATTTAAAATTACCTCAAAGTTTATTTGTATTTTTCAGCTGATGTGCATATTTACGTTGCATAGGAAATATACAATAATTCTTAAAGAAATAATGATTACAATATTATTGTCATTATAGAATGTTTTAACATTAAATATAATACTTGTCGTTTTTATATAATTAATAATAACTACAAAACACTTATTTTTTTAGCCAGAATTAATCGCAATACATGGTTATGTATCAGAAACACATCATATTTGGACAGAAGATGGATACTGTTTAGATGTGCATCGAATTCTTCCATCAAAATTACATAAGCATTCCTATTATGATAGAAGTGAGAATAATGTAGAAATCTTAAATGATAAAAGACCAATAGAGGTAAAG